TTAAGGAATATAAATTTAGCAACACAAAACACTGGGCCACTGGTCAGTGCTGTGACAATTGAGGCTGAACGTTGATGGCTGACCCCAAAGCACCTATGAGAGGCCACAAAGCAACTTTCGCAAACTTTCTTAGAAGAAAGTGTATAAATAATAATATTGGGTTAAGACTGAGATAGTTCTTTTTATTAAAAAAAACAAGTTTCATTATGTACTGACCCCCCCAAACCCCCATTCAGTTAAATATCTCCTTTACATTCGTCCTGTACATCCAACTCAAACATGGTGGATACACAAAATCAAAAAGTCAAAGAACAGTAAGTTTACTCTGTGCTTTTGTTTCCACTGCTTACCTCGAGTTCTTAAAAAAACAAACTAAAAATATAACAAAGGTCATTGATCTAATCTGTTTGATCATCAGTTCTTTAAATGTTGTTGGTAAAAAAAACCAGGAACGGTTTCATATTTCCTGCAACTATTCTGTCGAAAAGGGCTAAATATAAGATTTGTGTTAGCTCAACCTGCATGGTTATCATTCTTCTCTACCCTTTTCCCTTACAGCAATGACCTTTTCCATTTTTCACATTTGTGTTTGAAAGTATTAACAGTGAGGGGTTTGAGGTGCAGGCTATCCATAAAAAAGTTTTTACCTTGTGCAGCTTTACGCTTCATACATTTGGTCAGTTGTTGACATCAACCGTCAAGAAGCACCTTCAGGCCAATGAAATGGTAGGAACAGACTGAGAATTAAAAAACAACAACAACAAAAAAAAACAGTACTCCTTGACCGACTCTCTGTCTTTTTACTGAGATGTGCTCAGTTCTGTGGGTGTCAGTGGTGCAGGAGAGTCTTTGCCTCCCTATAGGGCACTGAGCACAAAACATCAAAGGCAAGCCTAAGCTGGATTCACAGAGTGTGAGAAATACATTCGCGTTGGCTGTAGGGATATCGAAACAAAGAGAAGAAGATGACATTTATCAATTTATCATTTGTTTTATAAATGACTCTAACATGTGAGATAGATAGATAGATAGATAGATAGATAGATAGATAGATAGATAGATAGATAGATAGATAGATAGATAGATAGATAGATAGATAGATAGAT